GAGCCCCCAAGGTCTGGAACAGCCTGCCATTGGAAGTGGTTCAAGCATCTACACTGAACACCTTCAAGAGTAAATTGGATACTTATCTTGCTGGGATCCTATAACCCCAGCTGACTTCCTGCCCTTTGGGCAGGGGGCTGGACTCGATCTTCTGAGGTCCCTTCCAGCCCTAATGTCTATGAAATCTATGAAAAAGGCTATGAAAGCCATCACTGAGCTTTCTGTATGGTGTATACAAAACTTCACCATTTGTGTTAGGCTTGAGCCAAAGGATAGTTAAGTAACAGATTTCAAATAGGAATCCATAGTATTAAAAGAACTCTCTTCTGTTGTGGTCTTTCCAACTTCTTTACAACCAAAGAATGACTCTATTATTTTTCTGTAGTCAAAAAACAAGTAACAACCAAGAGCTGGACTTTTTCAATGGGTGCCCTGAGACTAAGGAGACTGTCTAGGAGACAACAGACAAAGATACACACAAATCCTGAATGCTTAAGGTTTGCAATGAGTTTGCAGCACACACAGATGGGATTATTGTACTCCAGTACTACCAACCCAGTTATCTGGGCAACAAACAGCATACAAATATTGCTGACATTTTAGTCTTACTCTGCCTTTGTGACCAATGTTTAGACATTTAGGCGTGTGCAGTCTAAACGCTAACAGATGCTTAAAACCGAACGAGAGCAACATAGGGCTCATGCACAACACCACAGAAAGTCTCGAAGTAGCATTGGAGTGGTCCTGTAGCTGGGATGGTCCAGGAAACATGAGTGAAATAAGGAGTTTTTTACAATATTTCTTGATGTCCAATACAACTCAGATGACATTTTACATAGAAAAACTTAGTATTTGGAAAGAAAACTAACTAGAGCCAACATAGTTTCAAATGCAGCGCTGATACCCTTGGCAAATATGCAGTCTGTAAATCCCCAATGAATTCAAGGCCTGCTGCAAGGATTCGGTTATTAGTGACACACGGGATTGTATTACAACAGGGATATCAAATTTTTCTGGCCCCAAGGGCTGGATCAGTCCCATTTCCCCATCCACACGCCCCTTGCCAGATCCAGGCATGGATTTGACCCCTGCTCCTGCTGGTCTGGGACCTGGCTGGAAGGGGCTTAACATCCTCGGTGCTTGGCTGCCACTGGGTGAGGAGGAATGAGCCACAGGGCTGTGCTGGGGGTCTCACTCACCTTGGCTGTCACTGTAGGGATATGTCCCATTGAAGCAAGAAACGGGAAATATTGCTATCTGGCCCACGGGACATGCCTGATACTCCTCTACTTCGTTGTGATCTGCACAACAAAGAGCACATCCCAAAGACACTCTCATGGACCCAGAGAGGAAGATTTCCAGCTTCAGCCTCCTCTGTAAAAATTAAGTTTATTTCCTACCCATGGGGACTTTTTACCATCTTTAATTTTCCCTGAGCTCGATGAAGGGCACACGAGCCCAAAAGCTTGCAGAAAAAAAGGGTTTTTTTTGCAATTTCTCAGTTGGTCTAATAAAAGGTATCATCTCAGAAGCAAGAGTTCTAGATTTTTTGCATTTCTTTTTGTCTCAGACCAACATGGTGACCAAATACACCCCTCTACTACAGCAGTTGAGAAAGACATCTCAGGGGCCTGGGACAGAAGTTTCATAAACTGGTTTGACCCAAACCAGTTAAGTCCGATACTATATTCAACCCAGTTTATTTAAACCAGTTTCAGCCACTTTGAAATTGGTTGATGTGCATTGAACTTCTGTTCTGTTACAGGTTTAAACCAGTTTTTGATGACTTAAGTCACGTGTAACTTCTGTCCTTAGCCCAAAGGTGGAAATCTGGTAGGACAAGCAGCAGTCAGCACCTATGGAATCACATCGAGCAGGCTTAACCGTTTTGAAAAGTTTATGCAATTTAGAGAGAACCCTTAGATTATTTTGCTAATTAAAATATTAGTCATAGAAGTCAGACTGGAAGGGACCTCCAGAGGTCATCTAGTCTAGCCCCTTGCCCAAGGTAGGATCAAATAAACCATCCAAACCCTCCCAAGCAAACGAACCATCATCTAAACCAGCAGTTCCCAAACTATGACAGATGGCACACCACCAATTTAAAGATACAACCTTAACTACCACCAGCAACTTCTTGATACTGCAACTGACAGGTTGCCCAAGTACCACTGGTGGTAACTGTACCACAGTTGGGAACCGCCAGTCTAAACTGCACACAAAACAACCCTCGACCCTGACACAACCCACGCAACACCCGAACCTGCCACAGGTGAAGCAGGGGAACCACGGCAGCCTCCATCCTACTCCTAATGCAATGTTGTCAGCACGGGCTCAAGAGATGGGGCAAAAGGTCCATGGCCCCGCTCCAGAGGAAAGCAAGCCCCCCTTCCGCCCCCCAGTCAGTCCCCATCTCACCAGGGGAAAAATCCCTTCCTCCACACAAACAGCCCTGGCACACTTCCCTCTTCACCTCCTGCTTGCCTCTGCCTCCCCAATTTTCTCCTCTCCTCTCCCCCCTGTATTCACTTTTGTGACAGACCTGTGCATAGTTCATATATAGTTGATAGTGTGCAAAAGGCAGGAGCGCATGTGTCCTTGTGTGGGAGAGTGAAAGAGTGCATGTGCAAGGCAGGGTGTATCTTTGTGTGTGCATATGTCCTTGCGTGCGCCTGTGCAAGAGGGGAGAGTGCATGTGTGCGTGTCCTTGTGTGTGCGTATGCAAGGGGGAGGGAGCGTGCGTGTGGCCTTGTGTGCGAGTGTGCAAGAAGGGATGTGCCCGTATGTGCGAGCCCTGGCCCCGCACCACTAGGGCCCGGCCCGGCCCCACCTACCTACCTACCTGCCTGCCCAGAGGCCCTGCCCGGCCAGGTACTCGTGCCCACAGTCCGCCTCTGCCTCCGCCTCAGCCCCGCGCGCCCCCGCCCGATTTCAAATTTCAACGGCGCCGCTTTCGCCAATGAAAGGGCAGGAGCTGCGAAAGGTCGCGGTGATGGCTGTCTGAGCAGACCAACCAGAAAAAAGTAGGAGAGCGGGGCAGCCAGGCACCCAGCCAATAAGGATGTTCCGGATGCTGGAAGCAACCCGGGGGTGGTGTGCTGCGTAAAGCACGCTGGGAAATGTAGTTCGCGGGGCCAAGGCCAGTGCCCTGCTCTTCCTGGAGTGAGAGTTAACCCTGGGGGAGCAGAACTAGGCCCTGAGACGTGTGATGTCGGGGAAAGCAATGAGAAGCTAACATTGCTAGAGAATTAAAGACGACTAAAACCTGCTTGATTTAATATAATTATTTCTGCTTTCTTCCAAAGACAAATGCTGCAATGTTTCCTGTAGGGTCCTGGACGGGCCCCATGGCTTTCTGTCTCATGCAGTACAAAAGATTGTTTTAATGTAAGGTCATTTTCCAAGTCATGATCTTGCCTCTTATAAGTATTATTTTATAGACCCATCACTCCAATGCTATCGCTGCACTGTCGTTATTCTTCTCTAATAACCTCCGCAAGCAAATCACAAGTTAAAAACCTGCTGCTCTTAAACTGTTTTTAATTGCAGATTTACTGTGAAACCTGCTGCGCCCCAGCTCGAGTCAGGAAGGCGGCTGCATTAGCCAGAGACCGTGCTATAACTAGAAACAATTAAATCTCTTACATTGAAGTGCCCTACAATGAAATGCTGCAACCTCCTTTGCAAGAACCACACTATTTTAGTTTAAATATGACTTTATTGGCAAAAACAGGCACATGAAGTGTTGGTAAAGTGTACAAAGAGCCAAGAAATCTGTCCTCCATTTGCAATGTTTCAGTCATCTGCCAAGATGCAGAACCCTACAGTGCTGGTAGTTTTACTCTCTGTCCATTTGTTGTTAATTTTTAATTTATGACAAGTTAGGGCCCCTTGTGATGCTCTCTGTTCTCTAGAGTGATGCAGTTTTCCTCTTTAATAGAAAGGATTAGAGGTTATGGCTGTTTATCCTGAAGTGCAGGCTGTGTGCCCAGCACTGTAGAAGACAAAAAAACCTTAATTTCTGCTGTTACTTTTATGACCAGTAGCCACACTCAAGGAACAAGGGCTGGAAGAGATGTCCAGAGGTCATCTAGTGCAACCCCCTTCCTGAGACAGGATCAGCCCTATCCAAACATCCCACGCAATCCATAATCTAAACCAGGGGTTGGCACCGTTTTTTGGCAGAGTGCTAAAAACACCCATAACCTCAACTTGTAAGATGCTGGTGTAACAGGAGCAGACAGTTCGTCTTACCTCGATCCTGGGCAAGCTTTTTGAGAAAATTATTCTGGTGCATGTCCACAAGGGGCCAGCAGGAGAGGCCATGCTTAGGGGCAACCAACATGGGTTCATTAGTGGCAGGTCCTGTCAGACCAACCTGGTGGCCTTCTATGACCAGATCACCAAATCATCAGATGCAGGGGCAGCAGTGGACATAGTCTTCCTGGACTTTCGGAAGGCCTTCGACACTGTCTCTCAGCCTGATCTCATTAAGAAACTGGGGGGCTGTGGTGTCGACACCCACACAGTCAATTGGGTCGCCAACTGGCTGGAGAGTCGCACCCAGAGAGTGGTGGTGGATGGGTCATTTTTGACCTGGAGGGATGTGGGCAGTGGGGTCCCCCAGGGCTCGGTCCTCGGGCCCGCGCTGTTCAACATCTTCATCAGCATCTTGGACGAGGGGGTAAAAAGCACCCTGTTCAAATTTGCTGACGACACTAAGATGTGGGGGGATGTGGCCATGCTAGAAGGGAGCAATAGGCTACAATCGAACCTAGACAGGTTACAGGGGTGGGCGGATGAGAACAGGATGGGATTCAACACTGACAAGTGCAAAGTGATGCACCTGGGGAAGAACAACCAGCACCATACCTACAGGCTGGGGAACTCCCTTCTTGTCACTACAGAGGCAGAAAAGGATCTTGCAGTCATCACTGATGCCAAGATGAACATGGGTTGGCAGTGTGGGGATGCAGCCAGGAAGGCCAACCACACCTTGTCATGCATCCACAGA